TCTTAAAAGGTAGGCTTTTCCCGCCAAAAGACGTCAACGCCATGCTAAATTCAATTTTGGTGACGACAGCAAACGGGAAACCTCAAACCGCTAGCAGCCGTTTGCCGTTTGCAGTAAACGCGATGCTAAAGGTCCCTAATAATGCCTCTTTAACAAGTAGTACTCTAGTACACAAAAGTGGCGAGATTGTCATGTAACATTATGTCACAAAATTCTTTTAAGAAATCATCTTGTTATAAGACAGTAGTCGTATCCGTGTATCACAACAGTTTTTGTAGACAAGACGAGCTAAAGATGAATTAATTTGGGTGCTAAAGTTTAGGGCGCTTTCAGAAAAACATTTACAACCTATTTTCAATCAAGGCCTTAACAGACCTTTTCCGCGCCCGACCACTTTCAAGAACTCGCGATCGTGGAATGGGCACTGAGCCCTACAGGAAGATTTGCGGACATTTTTTGTTACCTGGAACAGCAGCCATGCTGAGCTTTGCAGCTAAGGGCAGAGCAACAAAGGAATCTAGCACTAGGCAGTCTTCCCTGAACCTATTACCAAATGTCCATTCCAGAAAAGGATCCTGGCTTGAGCTTCAAAAGTAAAGGAAGCAAAAGGAGGGAAGATAAGTATGAAATGCGACTGAATAGAAACACGTACAAGTTTGTGTTTGTATCTTAAAACTTTACACCCCAATATCTGTATGCCCTGCACAATTTCCACGAAAATGACTGGGAGAATTTGATTTAATAATAAAGAGCATCTTAAGATGGTGATTGTTTACTTTTTTCTCATGACCTTCACGTTTTATTCAGCAGAAATCTGTAAGGATAAATTAAATGCTACTCACTGGTGTTTATCAGTGACATTCTTACCCTTATCTCTCCTTGAATGTTAACAACAGTGGTTAGAATGATAAAGGTGTGGAAATTGTTGGTTTATTTCGTAAACGAATTCAAGAAAATTAATGAAAGCCTAAAGCAAGCGTCAGACTACATTTTGATCATTCTTCTACTTGTAGCAAGATCTCAATGTCACTACATCATTATTTCACTGTGAGTAAGCGATGGTTAGTCTTGGGAGCCTAGAGGTGCAATACGGTTTCTATTACTCAGGGCCCAGTTATCCAAAAGCCGATTAGCGCTAACCCAGGGTTAAATGTTCATCCGGGTTTCCCTATTCCTTTCTTCAAAAGCCTTTTAGGTATAATTTTCTATATTCTTTTTAAAGCATCCAACAATCACATTATAGAAAAACAGAATTATACTAAATTTTCTTTTTTAAGCTTTCAGATCTGAAATCAGATTCGATACTAATCCTGGGTTATCTTAACCCAGCTTTGAAGAACCAGGCCCACAGCGACTGATGCAGGGCTAGACACTAACTTTTCAACTTACTAGCCAAGTGGTTAGTGACATCTCAGAAGTTACAATTTCAGTTTGTTTACTAGCCAAACTGGCTATTGGAAATCGAAAACCACTAGCCAAAACTGAATTTCTACTAGTCAGTGGCTAGTTGGCTACCGTTAGTGTCGAGCCCTGTGAGGGTATCGCTAAAGTCTCCGAATGAAATGCTGGACCCCAAGTATCCAGCAAGTTACTTATATCCATCTAGCTTCACGGTTAGCTCAATTGGTTAGAGCGCTGCACTGTTGTGCGGGAGGTCGAGGTCGATGGTTCGAGTCTCGGCCGGACCAACACTCAAGGTCTTAAAATAACTGAGGAGAATGCGCTACCTTTCTATAATATCAAGAAATGGATAGACATTCTAGTCTTCTCGGATAAGGACGAATAAACCGTAGGCCTCGTCTCTTGCATCTTTTAATTAGTTAATTTGGTTAGGCAGGGGACGTTAAAGAACCCACTCACGAGATTACTGTGATGTGGTCTGGCCTGTTTACTGGGAATTGGGGGGGAGGGGGCATCTTCAAATAAGTTTCCTTCGATTGTTTGTAAACTGCTGATGTAGTCCGGCCAAAGTCCCCTGAAAAGTGTTGTAATGCGCATTTGATCATATCCACATGTTAATTTGCGCAAGATAAATATTACATTATTATTGTTATTATTACTATTATTATCCATTCACTCTTCTGAGTGGAAAATTACTCTGTAAGAATAAAGCGCCTTAACAACGAACACAACACAAACGATCCAGCCAAGTTTCAGGTTCAGCCCCATGTCTTAGGATGATAGACAAAACTTGCGTGCAAAATGCAACACAAAAGTGCCCACCTTAGTGGAGTTGTCTGGACGGAAAATCCATAATCACCACTCTCACATTGTGAGTACACAGAGTCTGTCAAACGGCAATACTTGCACAGCTCACTGCAGTCACACAGCAAATCTAGGCAATCAGAGAAAACATGCCGAACAAGAAATTAGACGTTTACTGGGAATTGGGAGGAGGAGGCATCTGTAAAAAATTCGCCTTTGATGATTGTAAACTGCCACTGGCAGTCTGGTGATATCCCCCCGCACAGTGTTGTAAAGCGCCTTGAACTTGGGATAAGAGCGCTATAGAAATAACAGTTATTATTATTATTACTATTATTATTATTATTATTATTATTATTATTATTATTATTATCTGTATGGAAAAATTAACAGTCAGGTTTGAACGAGTTCAGTCTATAGAATATTCGGTCAGTTGAAAGAGCGGTTACTTTATTTCAACTGTTTACCATTTAGTCTCCCACCGAGTCTTAAAGTCTACCTATCTCAAAGGTTGCTGCACAAAAGTTGCCACTATTAGCAAAGAGGGACGTTGCGCGTTTCGCCATGGGCGTAAGACAAAGGGAAAATGTTAGAACCCCACCAGAAATCTGAAGATCTGAGGTTTGAATATTTGAGGTAAACTAATTTTTTCTCAGCCTCGCCACAAAACGAATAAAACTATTTTCTACTGATAAGATGACCGAGTTCAATTTTTTCAATCTAACTTCCCTTATCTAAGTAAATACAAAAACGGTGCGGTTTGCATTCTTTATCCTATCAGGCTTACTAACCCGCTGAACAGTGAGTTGACGCTTGAGACAAGAGCTGATGTATCGTGTGAGTCAAGTGATACATGTTCTCGTTCTCATCCGTAACTAAGGAGTGTCCTTCTGCAAGCGTCTCACAAAGATTGAGAGCGACTTTGTACAAGGTCAAGGCAGTTCTTGCACACGGAGCTCTTTCAATCAGCTCCCTAAACAATTTCAGAAACCAAAAGCAATTTTTAAATTTCCCGCCACTGCCAAAAAACACGTTTGAAAGTACTGTCGAACCAATATTAAGTAGCACTGTATTGAGCGGTCAACCCACCATTCCCCTTGGCAGTTTTTCAACTGTTTTTGTTCAAAACCGTTGAAGAGAAATACTGGCGGACGACTCATTTAACAATGGCTAATTTTTAAAAGAAGAGGAAACTTGTGCTGAGAGGAGCGCACTTTACAATCATTACAGACGACAAAGGTAACAAGATAACAAAATAGATTGCCTAATTTTCAAGAAAAGTTTTTGACAATAACAGGAACCCATTGGGACGAGATGAAAGTGACAATGATGAAGTAACCATGACTTGTTGAGAAAAAAGCTTGTTGACAATTGTGGATAACGTGCACGGGCCACAGGACGCCCAGAAATGAAATTTTCTTTTTTTTAAAAAGCAAACGGAAGTCATCAGGACGATAGCATACCTGCACATATCAAGAGCATACGAGATATTCCCTGAAGATATTGTTTTCGACATCAATGTCAGTCTGACATCCTCCTTTGACATTCCCACCAACTCTCCTAACCTGCAAAGGACAACAGATATCAACTATTAAGCAAGCGCCGTTTATGCTAATATACCCTCACTGAACTCTATTGATCGAACAGTCTTTGGCTAATCGAACAAGAAATAAAATCCTCTGCAGAATTCTCGCATCATCGGATCATGATTCCTGCTTTACGTGTTTGATGTCTGTGCTTTAAAAAGTACTGTATAAAGCGTAAGAAAGAAAATCTTAACTATGACTATACTAAAAAGTTAGTATAGATTCCAGCTACTTTCCTTCTCTATTTTAATAAACAGCATGAGCATTAAAAGGTAATGACGTGGTTATTTACCAACAACATAAGATCACTGCAACTCAACTAAAGGGTAAGGTCACAAAAGGCGACATTAAAAGGTAATGCCTTGTAGTTACGTCGTATTTTCCTTTACTAGAGGCAGTTAACGAACAACTTATTCTAATTAGTAAGAGACAGTGGGACGCTCCTATACAAATAATATACTTTATGAAAAAAAAAAAAAAAATTTAACAAAACAAAACAAAAAGCTTACCTGAAAAGTTTAGTCAACGTCACTTGTCCCACATCAGAGGAAACCCCGCTACCAACTTTTTGTGAATCATGCTGTAAGAAACAGAGTGATCAGGTTACACATGGAGTCATAGCGAAGGCAGAGGTTCTGTAATTTTGAAAAAGCACAAAGTAGCTAGTGCCCTGACGCCGCGTTTCATATTCGAAAAGAGGCTATCCACCAGAAAGGCTCTGTAGTCATGATAACCATGTAATATCCTTTGATTCTCTTCTTCTTTCAATTGGGATAGCACAGGGCATTGCACAAATATAACTAAGAGAAGATCATGAAATCTCAGATTGCATCCCCCGGAATACCAGGGGGGGGGCACGAGCAGTTTATTACCAACCCGCTAAACTTCAACAAAAGAAAAACACAATTCAGTTATTGTTCTAGTATTTTTTCAATTCTTTGTATTCACTGTTTGTTCAAGAGCGACTTGTTCGGTCACCAATGACCCAGGGTTTGCTTGCTAGTGACTTGACATACTTTCATAATTCGTGAACTGTTCCCTTCAATATACCGACAATCAAGAGTCAGTCGTTACCTTTTCATCCACGTCACCGTGCTTCTTTTCGCGAGAATCTATATACAGTTGAAGATATTGGTCAAATAATCCTTGCCGAACGTCAGGAACCTGAGACTCCTCGACAGAGAGGAATGTTGAAAATTCTCTCTGAAAGGTAAACAAAAAAAAAAAAAGAAAATATTGGTCAGATTCGTCTTCAGTACGTGGAAGGCGCTGTGGCCTTATCATTGGCAAGCTGGTCCAGGTTCTAGCCCTTGTCGGGATCATATTGTTCTGGGGGAGGGAAGGGGGAGTAGCCATTTTGCTACTGAAACTGGATTGACTTTGAGCGGTGTCGATGACTTGGCTCGTGAGCAGTCTATGGCGATGACTTTAATCAAAAATGATATCGATAAAGCTAGATTCCACGATGGGTAAAAAACCTCACCTGAAGAGCAGAAATCATTTGCAGAGTAGACAGCGAATCATCTACGTCGACAATCGATGAAAGGTCTTTGAAATAAAAGGGAAGAGGAAAGTACAGGTTAGAAAGAAAAAAATCATGATCAGTCTATAAAAAATCACATGAGTGAAGCAATTGTGGACAACTGATAAAAGAGGAAGTAAAAAGGAAGAGGTTGTAATCATGAACTACTCACTGTGCTTCTTCATGAACTTCAAGACTGCAACCCCTGCTTGTGCAGCCACGACCTTCTCTGAAGAGAATTCCTGGATGTTTGAAATAACAAATGGTAACTATTTAGAAGCGTAAAAAGTTGGGAAAATTATTTTGAAAAAGGCTATTCTTACCCAACGCCAACAGCAACAACAAAGAAATTAATAACCTTCGTATCACTGAAGTCATTTTCAAGAATTCCACTGAGCCAAGTCACCAATTCATGCGCATACTGTTCTGCTTGCGGTAAGGGAACTGACTCTAGCAAATCCAAACAGGCTGGAATCTGAAAGATCATGTATTGAATCTCATTTTCAGAAAGGGATAGTAACTATTGCAATAAGGCTTTCATACCGCAAAGTAAAGATGAATGGATGTCGGCCATGTTCGTTTCTGTGTCTTTCTGGACAGATACAGAGTCAACGCCCACAAATACATGAAGCCAAACATATAATCAATCTCACTGGACAAGCTTGGTCACAACGCGATTGGGATTGTATCGACAAATTACCCTTCTGCAAAAACAAAGTACGAAATCCCTAGCGGGTTAGACTCGATTTTCACCGTGTTCTCGGATCCGGTTCTCCATCCTTCCGGGAATGGAGGAGTTTTAAGTTCAAGGAAGAGCGCGGGCTAATTCCCCGAAAAGCAGCTGGTAATTGAGCCGCCGAGCAGGTACAGGATAGGACCATCTAGCCCGCTTTAATAGCCAATAAGGTCACACGATTTCCTTCATCTTGGCCACGAACGGAGGCAGCATATAGTCATGCAGGCTGCGATACACTCGAAAAAACAAAAGGGAAAGAAGAAGGGTTCTTGTTTTAAAAAAAAATAAACAGAGGGAATTTAAATTGCGTAGTAAGATACAGTGTTTTTTTTTAGTTGTGATAGATTTTCTTTACTTCAAAACAATCTTTTTAAAGTAATAAATAAACTATTACAAAAAAGAAAAAGAAAAACCTTGTTCTCACGACACAATTTCTGAAGTCGAAAGGCGTAAGCTTCGTCTTCTGTAACATGACTGTATGATGTTACCACCTACAATAAAGAAAAACGTTAAACATGTAGCTGTTATGAAGGGCAGCAGTAACAGATCAGAACGAATAACTACATACATTTAGAAGTAGCAAAGATCTTTTGGAAATAGCGCATCGACAGGTATTCCTAAGCTTATCTAGAATAATCATAATCATAATCATAATCAATATTTTACATCTCAACGATACAAAATGAAAGCAGAAACTGATAATATTTTGAGAGCAAATTAGCAAAAGAAGATTTTGTTGATCCTACTGAGCTGCAATTAAAGAGATTTCCATCGGAAGCGAGGCAAATTTGACAGGGTTATCTACTTACACAAGTCTGATATTTGTTCATAGTTAAATGGACAATATCATATTTGGCCTGTGTTAAACAAGTGAAGACATTGACCCCAAAGAAAAACAGTATAGGTAATAACATGATTTCGAGAGCAATTTGTAGTCTGAAAAATTTACAAGTGCTTATTCAAACGAAATTGCAAGAGAAATCATGTTGTTATTAATAATTTGCATGTAAAAAGCATTACAGAAAGTCAAGACAGGCGAAATTTTGAGAGCGCGCGCGCGCGCTGTTTCAGTTTGTAATGTGCACTCGTGATACATAAAAATTGCACTAGTTTTTAGCCAATCATAAGCCTCTAATTTGTCATCATTAATGAAATAAAGCATAGCAAGAAAACTTGTCATTAAGAATTAACATAGTTCTCAACGGAATGGCTTCAAACTGGTCTTTCTTGGAGATGTTTTGTTAACATTGTGAGACATGCATTTCAAGCGGTTATTTAGCATGTCAAAAGTTTTGTGGATAGTTTTGTTTTTAACAGCCCAGTTTCCATGCCATTCAAGATACCACTTAGCCTTTAGCTCCCAGATCTGATTATAACATAACCAAAGTAAAGCGCGCGCTCTGATTGGTCAATTTAACGTCCCCCATTTGCTCATGGATGATGGGTGTACGTTGCTGACGTGGGCAAATGTAAAGACTATTTTTCCGCGCGCGCTTGTTTTTTCTGGTCACGTAAGATTTGTTAAATAAAAGAGAACTCTTTAGCTACAATGTATCAATGTTATGCTATAAAACAAATGGTAAACACCACAGCGTACACTATTGAGTTATGGATGCACTTGGGAGGTTTGCTAAGCACTCAAGAAGCTAGAGTCGCTCTCGCCTATCGCCTCGAGCGACTCTCACGCTTCTTTCGTGCTTAGCAACCTCCCGCGTGCATCCATAACTCAATAGTGTACGCTGTGGTGTTTACCATTTGTTGATTGTTAATTCTCCTGTCTGGCTGCTACACATTTCCTTGTAAATTAGTTGTGATAATTTGGTGTTAGATCAAGATTACAACTTTATCTGATGAGTTTGAGTATTCTCATGACCTATTTGATGGATAATGTATGGATAATTTAGAGAGAAATTACACCTCAACCACCTCTGGGAGTGAAAGGGTTAACTATATAATCCTTGACCGATTTAAGAAACATTGTAGCTTGTGGCCAAGAGGCCATTTCCGAATAACCTTTGGCCTCTTTTTGAAAACGAGGCCGGATGCTTAACTGTTCTTGTGAAAATGAGTTTAATTTGCATGTGAATGAAAACTTGTAACCATTGTAAAAGAGGTTAAGGGTGATTCGGAAATGGGGTATTAAAAATCGTACACTACACAGTAGCTATAAATAAGTTTCCAACTACCTTCAGAGCGTCTTCCATCACATTTGGTTGGTCTCTGGTCAAAATATACCTTGTTATTGCCTGGAATTGAATAATGAACACGGTTTTATTTTCAAGTAATTCTGACTTCATGTTTTGTATCATAATGAACAACAACGTCACAGTTTTTCTGCAAAAATAATCACTGGCACCGACAATTCATCCAAAGTCAACATCACATAAGCAAGTAAATAGCATTTGATAACATCAATATCAGTTAACAATTTATTACGTCATGTTAGCGGATCGTAATCATCATATTGGAGAAAATGGCCAAAATTGTTTTAAATTCGCGACAGTTCGTTCCTCCTTCCTTAGTTGTTCATCGTTATTTTTATTCTTTTAGGTATTTTATACCCTCTCACGATTGTGTCAAGTGATTTCTTCAGTTTGACGGGAAATGTTACCAGCGCAAACATCAAATGTCATTAAGTTAATTTCTTCGATCATATAAAAAAAATCGAACTCTTTAAAAGAACAAACAAATGGTAATAAGGCATTCTCTCGACCACAGGCCGGTCAGATTGCGGCAAATGTGCTAAAAAATGTCTTTTACGAAAGAGAAGTTCTACTCATACATAAAATCTCACTCACCTTCGCTCGTGCCGCGTAAGATACGTGAAAGCTTCTGATTCGATATTGAGAAAGCATCTTTTTAAGCTCGACAAGTCTATACTGCTCCTTTAGGTTCATATCACTATTGAGATAGAAATTGGGTAACAACAGAAACAAATATATTAATTGAATGTAACATTAATATTTACAAATTTCAGCGACACATCAATTTCGCTATTTAGAGAAAATTTATCAAGCTTGCGCACACTGTGGAACTTAGTTCACTTAATTCAGTGTACTCTTATAGACAACGGCAAATAGGCCAATCACATTGCGACATTACTATCAATTGTGCTAAAAACTGACTTCGTCAAGGTCGTACGGAACCGGTTATTATTTTTCGCTGGGGGTCGAGGGGTCGGAGGATTTTTTTTGGGGGGGGGGCAGGAATCACATCGTTTCATGGGGGAACGGAGGGGGATCAGTTGTCGTTAACAGAGTGCAAAGAGAGGGGACTATGAAAAATTGACTGCTTATGGGGGGATCATAAGAATACTGCAGAGCCTTAGGGGGGTCAAGTAATTTTACTGTGACACCACTTAACTCCACTGAACCCGTGTGAGTCTTCTCCATCGTCAAGCATCCTTGTTCCTCCTGATTTCATTCTTTTTTACTTAGCGCTCTTTTATCTCCTCTTTGTGTATATTTTGTACTTTGCCATTAACTGATCGACGTTACATATGATGAGGAGGCTTCTTCCAAAAAATCACTGGGCCAGTTATTTAAACAAAGTGTAGCGATTGTTTTACAAAAACGTGTTACAAACTATCTTCCTTTAATAAGCCGAACCTTTTAACTGAACATTTATTCTTGTGAATAGTGTCAAGAAGGCCAAAGCTAACAGTCGAAAGACATTTATTTTATCAAATCAACCCTTTTATGGAGGATACCTGAGGCCCATTGCTTGTGTGAAATCGCAGTTTGGGTTAGACCTCGTTTAATTAACCGGCCCATAGTGTTTAAATGAGAACCTATTTTGGATAATCATCCATGAATTCAGTGACCAGTTACTTAACACTTTTCCTCTTAGCGCTCTGTTATCTCCTCTCTCTGTACATTTTGCACTCTCCATTGACTGAACAACGTTACATATGATGAAGAGACTTCTATAAAAAGCTACAGTGTTTTAATGAGGACTTACTTCGGATAGGCTGCCATGAATTCGGTGACCAGTTTCTCAACACTCTCACTCCAAGGTATCATAGCATGTCGCATGACATCCAGAGTAGCTTTGCAACGGACCTGAGAAGAGTGACATGAGTATTCAATGATCTATGACTTTGACGTAAATGCAAACTGTTTTCCATACGCTTCTCGTTCAAATTGCCCGCACTATCCGAAAAAAAATTAGTATGTGTAATCAAATGGCGACGAGTGAAATTAGGAAATAATTTCACGCGCGTTTTGTCAAAATTCTGATAATTATCAGAATTTTGACAAAAAGCAAGTGAAATTATTTCCTGATTTCACGAGAAAACCATTTGATTACCTTTTAATATCGTGGGTGACAATTACGTTCACAACCGTAATTGTTTTTACTGGTTTATTCTATCGAAAACCGAGAACATGAAGAAGAATATAGTTTTCGTTTAAAGCATACATTATCGTTAAAGTTCGTAATTTTCTGAGTTTCTTCACAAAAAATACCTTTCGAATTCTTCGTGCCTGTTAATAATTTTCGGCCGCTTATTTTAATTTCGTAACTTCTTCAAGGGTCACCGTCTAAAATCTCGACGCCATCTTGGCTCTGATCGAGATACAACCAGAAGAGATGCTACCATGGCAATTTCAAATGTGAAATTAAAAATCAACGCTGAAATTTCGCGCCAAAATTAAGGAGTAATTTGTCACCTATGATATTATCAGTTCAACTTAAGCAATGATCCATGTGCGTGGACTGCAACTGCAAAAAAAGAAGCCTGACAAAAAGGAAAATTCAGGCTTCGACGGCATTTGAAGCTGTGCCTTCAAGATACTAGGTAATTTTGGTTTTATCAACTGAGTCGATAAAGGAAATTGCCCACCGTAAAGAGTTTCAAAGCTGAAGTCAGCGTTGGTCATTCGTCAGAGCGGATGACGAAGGACTAACGCTCGAAACGTCAGCTTTGAAACTCTTCACAATGGACAATTTACTTTATCAACTTAGTTGATACAACCATAATTACCTGCTTACTTTCACTGACGCGGCACCACAGTTTCTTTTCGCAACCAAACCCCCTCCCAGATACTAGTTGAGGTTAGCAGCGGGGCGCATTTCAGAGTTTTCTTTCAACAATCACAAGGAAGATTCACACAAAAGATTGTAGATGTCTCGCCAACACGTTACATGTTACATGTCATAAATGGTTCTCACCTCTTTTTCTTTGATGCANTCTGATTTTCGCTATTGCATAAATAGCGCTCTCTACTGCGAGGATCGTGCATCATACGTATCTAATACCGCAGTTCAAAATATATGAACTTCATATATTCATTGTATCTGATTTATCATCACGGGTTTATTACGAATCAACTTAACGGCCTGCTCCCAGTTGGCTTGTTAGCTCAATTGGTAGAGCGCTGCACTAGTATCGCAGAGGTCAGTGGTTCGAATCCTGTACAGGCCTGATTTTTTTCAGGTCTGATTTTCGCTATTGCATAAATAGCGCTCTCTACTGCGAGGATCGTGCATCATACGTATCTAATACCGCAGTTCAAAATATATGAACTTCATATATTCATTGTATGTGATTTATCATCACGGGTTTATTACGAATCAACTTAACGGCCTGCTCCCAGTTGGCTTGTTAGCTCAATTGGTAAAGCGCTGCACTAGTATCGCAGAGGTCAGTGGTTCGAATCCTGTACAGGCCTGATTTTTTTCAGGTCTGATTTTCGCTATTGCATAAATAGCGCTCTCTACTGCGAGGATCGTGCATCATACGTAAATCACAATATGTTGGCACGGCTCCCTTCAGCAGATGAGATGCACTACAACTAAGGTTTACCTACCTCTATGTAACGTAGAAGCATAGTGTCCCTATCAAGGCTGTGATGAACCATGTACGGTGCTATATATTTGGCGATTGCACTCGGAATGAGTTCGGCGGCCACTACACGGTCCAGCAGGCGAAATACAATTGTTGCTACGGTTTCCTGTGACACGGAAAAAGTGTTACCATACAATCTACTCCCCTCTAACACGAAAATTCCGGGAAAATAACAAAAAAAGGTTTGAGTTGTCGGGTGTTAAGAACATATGAACAGAGATAAAGAAAAGGGCGTTGACTTTATTTTGGCCTTCAGTCAGTTAGTTTGTCGAATACTACGATCAATAGAGAAGAAACGTCTTCTGGAGATGGGTTATAATTCTACACCTAATTTCAAAGAGTTATGTCAGATTTCGGGCAATTACGTCCAAGTTTGGACAGTTCTATTCGATTTCAGACGCCATCGTTTGATATCGGACGCTTTGACTGTTTTTGTGCACTTACGTTAGATTTCGGACACTTTCATTCGACTTCAAACGTTTTCGTCCAATTTAGGAAACTGCTATTTGATTTTGGATGCCATCGTCCTATTTTGGTTACTTACATTTGTTTTCATTTATTAAATGCTATCATCCAATTTTGGATTTCATCCGTTTTCGGACTCTACCATCTGTTTTTAAAAATTTTCTGCGTCCTATTTTAGACGGATCTGTCTGATAATGGACGTTTCCCTTCGATTTCTGACTCAAGCTGCTGTAGCCCTCAAAACTGACTTCCCCCTAAGGACTTTTAGAGCACCAAGTCCAGTTGCCTCAGGGACTTTGAAAACCCCTTCTTTTTTTTTATCACCTTTTCTTTCAAGAGAACTTCCAGAAGTTCATGAAACCCGAAATTCTACTCACCTATCAGATACTTAACTACAAACCAGAGCAACGAGACCGTAAAAAAAATACCTGTGAAAATTCTGCCAGCGTTATTTTACAGGAGTATTTGGTGTGAAGATCAACAAGATCAGCCAACTGCTGAACCAACTTCATTAAACTGGCTAATTCATCAGCAACATCCTGAAGAAAAAAATGCACAGATTACATGTTCACTATCACATGAGCAATGCAATACACACCATACCACTTTGAGTAATATCAGTGATATAAATATACCAATGATTCATCATAATAACTAGTAAAAATATTGAACATTATTAATACTTAATTGTTCCTTTTCAACAGAGACTGACATTTCACAGTAAATCAAGCTGACCATAGTTAGTGAGCAGAGGGGTCCCCCTCTACTAACTGTGAGCTGATGAGGCAAACAAAGGGAACTCATCTCATGTGGTATGACTAACAATTAGGGAATAAATTTCATTCATCATTTCCATAGCTGTGTTCTTATCAGCAACGCGCATTTAATAATAAATAGTTTTTAACGTGGAGAAACACTTAGCTAGAAGCTAGTTTACAGGTTTTCCACCAAACAACTGAAACAAATAATTCAAATTGAAAATAACATTATTAAGAATCCCAACTGGCTGAAGGCAAACCAGTTGGCTATTGACAAGCATGGCCGAGGATTTGACCTCGGAGCTACTGTGAAACAAATCCAGGTAGTGGCCAGGGCGGGACTTGAACCCGGCAGCGGCGGATCGCAAGTCCGACACGCTGACCACTCGACCGCGCTGCCTTCAGCGGCAAAACCATGTCTTCGAAAAAGCGACAAATAACTTTGTGTAGTTTTATAAAGCAAATACTTTGGCTCAGAAAGTGTTAGTTTAGAGGCTTGGACACGTACCAAGTTATTTTTGGTATCCTTAAAAAGTGCTCTTGCTGTTGCAGGAAGACCGCAGACCTTCGAACACAAAATTCACTCAGCACTGAACAAAATCTGACTTTCTAAAGTTATTCAGGATACAGACAGTACAATATCTCATCTTAGGACTACCTGCATCACTAGAAAACCTGAAACAACCACGCGAGAGCAAAGACAAAATGCCAGTCCTCCCCTATAGAGAGTAAACTCCCACCTTCCATAACCTGGTCAAGTACTCTACCACTGAAGCACATGAATGTTGTGGTCAGATATTCACGTCATGTAACAAACTTGAATCAAAAGTTAACAGAAGACAGAAATTTAACACACATATATCTCTCTTCAGATAATGCAATACCTGATCTGCAAACTGCGCAGGTGTGGCAAGACCTCTTCCTGATGCACTCCCTGAAACTGACTTTGATGCATTCAACAGGACACTCGCAAGTTGCAAAGCATTTTGAGGCCAACCTTCCTAAAAGAAAAAATAGTTTCACCGGCTTAAGCACTCTATCTCAGTATTTTTTAAAAGAGAACAATGTTTTGGCAAGAGTTTCATTATTCTTGCGCTATCCCAGCGTTTATTTCTAACCTTCTCAGAAAGCTCCATATTTTTAGCTCTTTGCTCCAACCAACTCGCGAGCATCCGCTAAGAACAGAGAAAAACATCAGTGCGAGAGTAAGTAACACAGGTGACTTCTTTTGCTTTGTTATTGTTGCCGAGCCATACTTTAATAGCTGGTGCTGTTGTGAAGAGATGACCGCTCAGAGAGATCAAAACAAGAATACATTTTTAACTGTTCAACAGGTACGAAAAAAAAAAAAAAAAATGAAAAAACTGCTCATTTCAAAGTGCCTGAGGGGTTGGCCATCAAAACAAGAACCGCTTTTTTGTCTTCTCTTAATCTTTAGGCATCAGGTATGCTTTTGTATGAGGACTGGTGATACTATTTACTTACTGACTGAGTTTGTTTGGGCAGGACAGGAAAATATTTGGCTCGAGGTCATGACTTACGCAGCGAACGCACCGTGCTTCATGACCGGTCAATAAGCATTTCATTACATAACCACTTTGAAAATTTTGTTTGAACCTAAAAATAGAATGCGATAGACGGGCACACGCGGGACAACCACAATACAAACTTCTTTGTTTGTTTGTTTTTTTTTCCGAGTCGGAACAAGAAACTCACAATGCATCGAGAAAACGCAACTGTTTAAACGTTTTTCCTATACGTTTTAGCAACAAAGCCGTGTGAGTGCAGACCGGACCGGGTCAAGTCAACCTGTCCGGCCCTACACACACCAGCTTTCTCTATTGTTTTCTATGGGATTGTGCGCGCGGAGCCCTACGAGTCATACAATAAAACAAGGCAAGTAGAGTTAACTCTTCACTCGAGCCAAGTGGCCACCTAGCCGGAACTTATCCCAGTTTCTACAGCATGAAGCGACTAGGATGTATTATTAATACTCCCCCCTGGATGGCATACTGGTCCATCACAAAGTAACCCCCCCGGCATTTCGTCAGGCTTCCTTGCCAATTCACAGGTACCTATTGATACTCCTGGGGGGAGGAGAGGCACTGTGAGAGTGTAGTGTTTTGCCCAAGAACACAACACATTGACACGGCCAGGTCTCAAACTCAGACCTCTCAACCGGGAGACCTACACACTGACCATAAGGCCACTGCCTCTTCCATAAAACAAGAAATAACATTAACCCTTTAACTCCCAAGGGTGATCAACGTGTAACTTCTCCTTATAATATGCATACATTATCCAGAAAACAGGTGATGAGAATACTCAAACTTGTAAAAAGTTATCAATTGATCTAACACCAAATTCTTTTAACTAACTTACAATGGAGTATGTAACAGCTAGAGGGGAGAATTTTAAAACAATCAGATTTTGGGAGTTAAAGGGGTTAGGACTGAATTGAATGAGGACATCTATGACATGTGTTTTAACTTACCAGACCCGAGGGAAACGCCTTACTGATAAATGGCACAAGGTCATCTTGTAGCCAAGGAATTACTATGGAAGAGTGTAAGTCTTCAGGAATGGAGCCAATTAAAGACTCCAATTTTTCCATGCTAAACTGAGTTACAAAATGACTCTGCAACAGAGAATAATAGGAGAAACATTGGTATTCCTAAAAAGGTGCTGCATTGTTACAAACCTTCACTTAATTTTGTCTTTAAAAGTTTGACACAATCATGTTATCTCTTTCCTAATTTCTTCACATTCATGAATGCTCTTGTTATCATTACTTCACATTTCTCTATCTCAGGCATTTGCTTAATAATATAAAAAACATTGTGTTTGTATAAAAAATTTTGCACATCAACGGTGCCTCTTTCAAAGGAAAAATAATTGAAGATATTATTATCATAAATCCTCTATTAAGCCCCCTCTAATAAGCCATCCCTCTTTAAAGGAAGAAATTTATTAAGCCCCCCCC